TCACTCCTAGCTAAACAATGAATCTTCTACCAAGATAGGAGGTGCGACCTAAAAATACAGTGTCCATAGTTTTTAAAATGTGTGACAGTAAAATATACATGGCCACAAATCCCACCCCCAAGCTCCCAACACACTCATGTTGTCATTCTTTGCAATGAGTCTTATGTCACTGGTTTTTCTTTTCTTTCTTTTTTTTTTTTTACCCATCTCATTTTATTCAGAGAGCAGATAATTCTGATCACATGTGATCCAGGAACACTCAAATACTAAATCCAATATAATCAGACATTAGACATTCAAACATCATAGCCAGTGATGCCACACTTGCCTATGATCTCTCCAGTATAAAAGCACATCCACACTTCAGTGGCCACCAAACCATTCAGCACAGCTTCCTTTATTGTGAGCTGTTTGAAGCTACCACTTTGAGCACTACGGACTTTTTTTTTTTTTTTTTTTGGGGGAACCGGGAATTGAACTCAGGCCCTTATTCTACTGAGCCATCTCCCCCGCCCCTACGGACTATTTTTTTCAGGCTCTGAATAGCTGCAGGGATCTCAACAGGGGTTGGAGGAACCAGCTCAACCTTGGCATAATACCAAAATGTGGCCAATTGAGGCTTCGAGTAAGTCACAGCAGTAGTCACTAGCGCTGGGACCTTCTCTGCGAGGTTATGGATGAACTGGGCCATGGTTCTAGGTGGAAGCCACTGGTTTTTCTTATTGGAATGTTCACAGTGTTTTCTGATCAGCCTCTGGTTTTCTTCTCTGACACCTAAGCCAGTTGAGAGGATTTCCTGGTAAAGCCCTGATACCTGTTTTCAGCCCTGATACTGTGTTTTCCTGGGTTTCCCAGACAAAACTGCTCAGCGGATTCACCGTCACTAACACAGGACTCCTAAAGGCAGGACATTCCACAGCCCAGTTTATGGGTCACTAAAAAGCCCCTGCAGAGCTTGGGACCACCTGGTCCCGGCAGCTTCTTCGGGTTTAATTGCAGGAAACCTAAACATAGCCGGGTGCACAGGCCAGGAGCAAAAAGCTGCTTTCAAAGAAAAAAGCGAGGTTATTACAGGCGGCCCTGCTGCAGGCGTGGAGGGCTCTTTGAGAGCAATTAACAAAGCCCCTGCTTCCTGGGCACTCGCCCACAGAGAGGCTACAAGAAAGGGGTCGGGGATGGAGGCGGTTAGCAGAGCCAGCCCACCCGGCTTTACTCATTTAGGGCCCCAGAGATTCCTTCTTCTCCCAAAGGAGAGGAATTCAGAGGAAGCCCAGGCACAAGCACATCACACACCCTCAAGGAGGCACCTGCTCCCCGCTTCTCCTTGTCCTTCCAGCCCTGCACTGCACAGCAGAGCCACCAGCTGTGCCCAACGAGGCCACCAGGCTGAGTTTCTCTGCCACCAGGCTTGGGGACATCAGGCACAGGGTAGATACTCATAGGAGACGAGGAGGCTTGAGGGCTTTTTTTTTTTTTTTTTTTTTTTTTTTTTTTTTTTTTTTTTTTTTGCGAAACTGGGGATTGAACTCAGGCCCTTGCGCTTGCCAGGAAGCGCTTATTCCACTGAGCCATCTCCCTGGCCCCTGGCTCGAGGGTTTAACCCAGAAGTCTGTGCTGGGCCTAATGGTTGGGCTCCGAGGCTCCCTGCACAGTGGGCTTTGGTCACCTATCTACCTTCCCATGGCCCAGGGACCTTCTGAGATCTGAGGTCAGATGTGGAACAAGAACACACAACTCTGGGTACTGTCCAAACTTAGGAAAACATAGCCTAAGGAGCATACTGCATTTGTGTTGTTTAAAAAATTAAAAGCTAAAGGTGGCTACAGCCAGAGGCAAACCCGCAGCTCCTGAGGCTGAGCACAGCACAGGCCAGTCTAGTACAGCGACCGAGGGCAGAAAGGTCAGGCCTGGTGGTGCACGCCTATCATCCCCAGCACTCAGGAGGCTGAGGCGGGAGGATCACAGCCAGTTCAAGTGCAGTCTGATGACTCATTCATCACTCGGGTGGCCACTTAGGAAAGAAGGCAAGCGACAAATGCACAAAAACCTGGACCCTGGAATGGTGGTCCTCATAGAAGAGGACACATTTTAAAATAAGCCCCCATTCCTTCCAGTCTGCCATGATGACTCACCGGTGGCAAGAGTTAAGCCCCTCTTCCGCATGATCCCAAAGGAAAGCAACCCTGCCCCCCAAGCATCCCAAGCATGCACGCACACTGAGAACCCCTACCCTGTGCCACCCTACGCGCACGAGACAGGATGACTGTGGACGATTGTCCCTTGGGAAGAGGTCTTCAGTGAGGCCTCTAATGACCTTGACAGTGTGGAGTGGCTTGAATTCAGACAAGATGCAGACGTTCCCAGAGGGTTAACAAGGAGCAGGGTGCCCAGAAAGCACCTTTCTGAGACCTCTACATTTACTAACTCCATCCACCCGTCCCTGAGGAGCCCAAGCTGGCCCTGGACTTGCCTCAATCCTCCTGCCTCAGCCTCCTGAGTGCTGCACACAGCCATGCACCACTGTGCCTGGCTTTTGATCCCTTAAAAGGATCCCCCCCTCACCCTGGCCACAGGGCTCCTGTTTTGGGAGTTCGCCTACGGTTCCCCTCAGCAGAGTCCTCTGATCTACATCAACTCTTCTCTTGCTCGGACTTGGTATGTTTCTCTCACCCCCAAAGCCCCGGCCCTGTGTGCCCCACATGGCACAGACCTGGCCAGAGTTGTTGCTCCCCACAACCCACAAAAGAGTCAAACCTCAGAGGCTCCAGGGCCAGCCTCAGTCCCCAGAGGGAGCACGCACCGAGCAGGGCGTTGTGGCCGCTGTCATCCGGCAGGAAGCGCTGGTCCACAGCGCACACGAGCAGCTGGTCAGGCAGGCTGGGGGACTTGGCCCCCACCAGCAGGAAGCCAGCGGGGACCTCCAGGGGCTCGCTGGAGACGGACACCAGACGTAGGTCCTTCCCGGCCTGGCAGAACCCTGCAGCGATGACAAGGCCACACAATGCCCAGGCTGCTCGGAGCCGGGGTCACAGAAGCAGACACAGGAGCAGCCTACTATTAGGCTAGGTGCAAAATTAATGAATTCTGAGAGAGAAAATCATATCTGTGCAGAACACTTCACCATAAAGAAGGATAAACTCGAGTTATGCGTGGGAAAATGAATATGTCACATGAAATAAATGAGACACACCAGCTCTAGTAATACATGGCTTCTCTTTTATGAGAAACGCATAGTATAAATAATTTAAAGAGTAAATTAAAAGAGGGCTCATAGGAAATGCAGACAGATCTTTTGCGAATGGGAAGGGGCTGAGAGATGCAGGGGGGTGTGGAAAGGGGAGGAAGAGGGAAGATACTGATGTCCCCGCACTGCCCCCAGGAGTGCAAGCATGTGTACCACAGACACAAGTAAGTATGCAAATATTACAGAATCATAACCAGTTCTGTGGGACACCAATCACAGAAATTATCCACGGTGTTACTGTGCAATACACATGAAGGTCAACAGGAAAAACACATAAGCAAACGATGACAAATTAAAACGCAGACAAGCTGGGCTGGTGGTGTGCTGGGGAGGCTGAGGCAGGGGGCTGTGAATTTAAGGCCTGGGCTACAGAAAATATATTTCCAAAAATGCCCTTTTTTTTAATGTAGGTAAGATAAATCCCTAAGAACTGAGGAGTGACTTCACGGTTTTTTAATATTACATTTTATATGAACAGAGAGGACTTGAGTATTGAGAGACTTGCCCTCTGTCTTTTTTTTTTTTTTTTTTTTTTTTTACAGGGGATGGAACCCAGGGCCTTCTCACTGAGCAGTACCTCCAGCCCCTTTTATTTTTTATCTTGAGGCAGGGTCTCGCTAAGTCACTGAGTTGCCCAGGCTGGGCTAGAACATGGGCTCCTCCTGCCTCAGTCTCCCAGAGGGTAGTGATTCCTGGTGCACACTGCCATGTGCAGCCCTCTGTACCTTTAGAACCCTTTGAATATATTTTGCCTTTAAAACATAAGTTTAAATAAAAAATAAAACATAAGTTTGCACAGCTATCAAGGTAGGAAAGAGAAAGGGCCAGGCTCTGTGTGGCTCTGCCCTCCCAGGGTTCGGCAAGGTGAGGACGCAGGAACAACTGCAGACATCGCCACCCCAGCCTCCAGGAGCGGGAACCTGGCCTCCCTGGAGACCTGAGCGGCTCACAGCCCCTTTTCCTAACGTGCCTATTTGCTTCTGTTTCCTCCAGGATCTCGCTGTCCCCAGATAGCAGTCTGAGAGGCCAAGACCCATCACTGTCAGACAGCAGGACATGTGGACACATGGTACCTGCATGATCAGGCCGACCCTTCTTCTACAATTTGGGCCATCACCTGCTTAACATATTCATTGTCTACATTTTTACAAAAATGTTAAAGTAAAAGACACATTGTCGTGAATCCACCTCAAAATCCTCCCTTCTTCACACACTCTCTTCCCATCGTCCTTGCTGCTTTCCACAGCAGCTCTGGAGTCCTCTTTCCTGAGGGTCTTTAGCTGTGCTGTCATGGCTGCCTTGTTGTCCTGAATAGATTTAAAACATCTCCCTTTCATGATCACTGTGACTTAGGGGAGTAGCCCAAACTCACATGATGCCGATCCGGTGACTAAGGTGGATAAAGACACAGTGTCTCATTTTCTACAAGATGCCTTTCCCTTAGATGGCAATTGGCAGTGACAGTCACCATATTATTGATCACACCTGGTAATGACTGCCATAGACCATGGAGGAGCTGAGAGTGAGTGTGGCATCTGCCACTGGATGGGGCCACCCCTGGGAGCTAGAGACACAGGACAGGCACAGACAGAGCCTGTGGCTCCAGGTGCAGGCCCAGCCACAGCCCAATGGGACACTCTGCTGTGGGCGCTGGGCTGGGCTGGTGTCCAAGAGTGCCAAACAGGGTACACACACCTGTGGACCCAGCACTTGCGAGGCTGAGGCAGGAGGGCTAAGAGCTCAAAGCTTCAAAACATTTAAAATTACAAAAGGGAGATCAACGGTGACTCACCATCCGTGGTACAGCACCCTTCAGGAGGAGACGCCAGTGGGTAGGGATTTGGGGGTCCGTTCGTCTCCAGTCCACCATCTCCCTCCTCTTCCTCTTCCTCATTGTCCACTTGACTGCCCCCTGGACAGAGGAAAGAAGAGAGGGGATTTACAAGGCAGCTTCCATCTAGGTCCTCTCCCTGGAAACAGCCCAGGACCCGGGGGCTGAACCAGCGGGCTCAGGACGATGGCAGGTTCAAGGCTAGCCTGAGCAACTTAGTGACACAGCTACCCCTTGTCTCAAAATAAAACACTGTATAAAGGGCTGGGAACATAGCTCAGTGGGACGCCCTAGATGTAGCCGCTAATATGGGGGGGGGGGTTGCATGAGAGCTGGGTGTGGTGGCACATGCCTGTAATCGCAGCACTTGGGAGGCAGAGCTCTGGAGAGTGACCCACAGCAGTTTAACTCTGATGTCCCCAGCTGTGCCTGATATCCAAGCTGGCATTCTCCCACTAAACTATACCGCTTAGTTCAAGAATACAAAATATCAGTAGTGTGAACCATCGTGTTAGGGCTCAGAAAGCTGTCAAACTCTACATTGCTGTTTATCTCCAAGAGCATGATGTAGCTATACATTGTTCTAAACAAGCAAAACACCTAAGCATGACACACATATATACACAAACAAAAGCCATTCCAGGAAACTCCAATATGATCCAGAAGGCTCCAGAACATTCTAGAACAGGCCCTCTTTCTCTGGCTTTAAAAAACTAGTCAAGGAAAAAACAAATAAATACAAATAAAATAAAATAAAAATACACTTAAGGGAAACAGTATCTTTGGAGGAATGGAAAAGGTAGATGTGGCCAGGAAAGCTTGAAACTGGCCTTGGAACTCCCCCATCACTCCCTGACCTCCACTCCATCATTGCTGTGACTCGAGCTTCTGGGACATCCTCCAAGACCTGGAGGACAGGTCTCCCCTTCCGGCCTTACACCCTGGCACTCAGTACAGTGCCGCACAGAGACACAGAGCTCAGGGCAGCCAAACACTGCCGGTGGCTCTGCCTCACACTGCCAGAAGAACAGGGTCTTCACAGACATGAGCACTATTAAGGTTCTTTTCTCTTAGATGTTTGGGACAGAAATCTTCCTCCCTGACACTGGGAGGTGGCTACACCTCCTCAGCTGTGCTGTCACCTCACCCATCCAGGGCTGGTGGCCAGAAGCCCAACCCAGAATCCTCACTCAAGTTGTAGAGCTCGGACGCCTGCTGCCGCTGCAGCCCAGACTGAAAACAGAAGCTGTCAGGTGCACTTTTGAGTAAAGGGGGCCCCATGCTAATGGCGAGGTAGCAACACCTCAAAGCTGGTGCAGAACTCCCAGCTCCAGACACATAATCTTCGAATGCCTAACTAGTTAAAGGTACCCATGGGCCTGGCAAGATGTCACACATATGTGATCCCAGCCTCTCCAGAGTCTGAGGCAGGAGGACTGCTGTGAGTCCAAGGCCAGCCTGGGCCACACAGTGAGACCCTGCCTTAATAACAGTAATAATAATAATAATAATAAATAATGTTCTGACTGCAAAGCCAACCCTCCAGGACCTCTGAGGAGTGGCATCGCATCATGGGCATCTCCTATTACAGTCGAAAAGGGAGAAGAAAAATCCTAGAAGAGAAGCAGCTGCCTTGCAGCTGAGGCTGCTGGAACTGAGCAGCCGTGTAGTTTGAGGACTCCAGACTCCAGGAGAGACCTGGTAAGCAAGGACAATCTTCAATCTTTGCCTGGAGTCAAAGAGCTTCCCTTGCAGACAGAAGGAGGATTAAAGGTCAAAGGTCTGCCCCAGACATTCCAGCACCTTTGATGGGATTGGCCAGGCCCTGGCCCCAGCCGGCCCTGGCCCCAGCCCAGCCAGACTGGGGCCTTAGCCCAGCCAGACGTTGTGTCACTGAAGTTCCAGTGGAGAGTGGGGTGGGAGCAAAACCCGGGAACTGGGGACATGGGACCACCAGCCAGAGCTCTGGGGTTATGTTCAGTTTTCTTCCAAGAGAAAAAAAAATGAAAAGTCAGAGCTGGCAGCTTTAAGGAGTATCTGCATCTGGTTTAATTAATAAATACTCAGAGCGCAGTGCACTGTCCGGTTGGATAGCCTTCCTCTTGAGAAAGCCAGACTGTGTGGGAAGGCTCTCCTGCCCAAGAAGCAGGTGGGAGTCTGAACGCCAAGAACACAACAATAGGAACCTTGCGAACCCCAACACATAGAGTTAAAATACTAACAGAGCCTGGGTGTCCATCCTCCCATGCCCTGGCCATAAAAGCTCTGGGATAATGGGAGGAGGAGGACGTGGAGGAGGAAGAGGGGGAGGAGGAGAAAGAGCAAGGAGGAGGGGGAGGAGGAGGAGAAAGGGACTGCAGTAGCAGCTGGAGCCAGGCAGACTCAACTGGGATTACCTGCCTGGGAAGACTTCAGGCCACATAAGACAGGGCTCCAGCTGAGTGCCTGGTGTAGGGTGACATTTAGCAAAGGCGAAAAGGGAGGGAGTGAGGAAAGGAGGAAGAAAGAGAGAGGAAGGAAAGGAGGGAGGGAGGGAAGCAGGGAGGGCGGGGAGGGAAAAGGCTTTGTAGACTTTAAGGTACCATTCAAATGCCCTACATTAGCCTCACGCCTGCTGTTCTTCATGTATCCTTAACAGCCAACCACTTCTCACCGTAGAATTCAATGTCCCCAAAAAGTCAGCTGCCCAGACACGCAGTCTCTATAGCCTTTGCTAAGGATTTCTGACCTCCCCCGCCATGTCGAGGTGGTGTTTCTCAGGCCAGAAAACATTGGTGTTTTTGGCATGAGTGCCAGAGAATATTCAGGTTTCCTAATTTGTAGTGTGGACCAAGGGTAATACGTGTTCCTGGCCTCAGGCTGAGCTCCTTGGTCCAGTCCTCAGCTATGCCATCCGCAAAGTTAATGTAAGAAGGACTTTTTTGTTTGGTTGGTTTTTGTTTTCACAGGACTGAGGATTGAACCCAGTATGTTCATACCGAGCAACATACTCAGCCCTCTTTATTTATTTTATATTTGAGACAGGCTCTCACTAAATTGTTAAATTACCCAGGTGGGCTCCAACTTGCCCTCCTCCTGCTTCAGCCTCCCAGGGTGCTGGGATGACAGGCATGCGCCACCGTACCAGCTGGTGAGCACATTTTAAAGGGAGCCAGTGGGCTTCCCTGCTAGGACGCAGAACTGTCTGAAGATTGCTGCAAGTTCAAGGCCAGCCTGGGCTGCATGGTGAGTTCAAGTCGAGCCTAAACTACAAAGCTAGACCCCGTCTCAAATAAATAAGACATATACTTACAAACAGAAATTCTAAAACTGCAGCTGTCACACTATAGAATATTGCGGGCTTACTGTTGACCCAAAAATACACAGTTATTTAAAATTACAATGGTTCGATTCTCTGACTAGTTAAGCAAATCCTAAAGCGAATCACCCTGAGCCTGAAGATTATTTATTTATTCTAAGCACATGATAAATGTGTGAAAGATTGCTCTGAGCTCTTAAAGTGTCTAAAGCGCTGCCTGTGGCTGCTGGTGTAAGAAACTATCCAGGCACCTTTGCAAAGATACACCTCCAGATCACAGGACAGAGAACGGATATAGAGACCTAAAGGTGTGTCAGAAATTCTCACTTACAGCCCAAATGCCGAGCTTTCTTCTGAGGACAGAGGGGCCACTTCAGAACTGCCGAGCCCTGTCCTCACCCTTTCTCCTATTGCTCTAACTTTTATTTCTCCCACTTCGTTGGCTAAAACTTACTCCCAGGCAAGCTGTGCACAGTTCTTTCCTGATGGGCTCCACATTCCCAGCTCGGGTGGCACAGGTAGGCATCTGGCGTTTGTGCCTACTGCACAGAGCAAAAGCAAAGCGAGCCCCTGGCATTCCCTACCTTCCAGCGAGGAGAGCTGCTGCTCGGCTTCCAGGTAGAGCTGGGAGAAGATGGGCCGCGGCACCAGGCTGCTGGAGCGCAGCGAGGCCTCGATGGAGCTGTGCAGCACCTCCTCAAAACGCGTGCTCTTCAGCTGGCCGGCGTAGGAGTTCCCCATCTTGCCGGCCGGCAGAGCAGGCTCACAACAGCATGTCGGTCCGCAGCGCGCAGGAAGGAGGACTGGCAGGAGAGGCGGCTGGGCTCTGCAGGGAGGCTGCAGGAAGCTGTATAAGTAACAACCCTGGCCAGCGCAGCCTCACCCAGCCCGCCCCGGGTGGAGCTGCTCGAAATTGCTCTGGCCCCCCACGGAGGCAGGCGGGCGAGCGGAGCCTGGCCCTGCAAAGGCTTCGCTCTTCCACACCTGCTGCCCATTAGCTCTCCCCGTAGACTGCTCAGTCTAGCAGGTCTTCCCTCCACACAGTCGCCCTACAAAGCCCAGCTTACAAAAGAGGGCAGGAAAATCACGGAATCCACCCCAGAGGAAACACTACTCTTGTTTTTGTTTTCCTATTGTAGCCTCACTGAAATACAATTCATATAACAAAGTATACAACTTGATGGTTTGGGGGATGGTGTTGTGGAACTGTCAGGCAATCAAATTTTTTTGTTATTGTTCTGGTTTTTTTTTTTTTTTCCAGACAGGGGCTCACAGGCAAGCTGGCCTCAAACTTGTCCCAATCCTCCTGCCTCAGCCTCCTGAGTGCTGGGATCACAGCTGGGCATCATCACCCAACTCTGATACAGTCCATTTTAGAACACTTTCACCACCCCTAAGAGAACTCCCATACCTGTCACTAACCAACCCCCCAGCTTTCCTGCCCACTGTGGCTACTCTACCTCTCACTACAGATTTGCTGATTGTTTTATGGTTGGTTGGTTGGTTTGTAGCGCTGGACCTTGAACATCTAGGGCCTTGCACTGAGCTATCTCCCCAACTCTTAATTTTTTTTTTTTTTTCTTTTTTTGGAGGAACCAGGGATTGCACTCACGCCCTTGCGCTTGCCAGGGAAGCGCTTATTCCACTGAGCCATCTCCCCAGCCCCTTAAAATTTTTTTATCATGAGATAAAATCTTGCTAAATTGGGCAGGCTTGATTCAAACTTGCAATCCTTCTGCCTCAGCTTCCTAGAGTGGTGGGATTACAGGCATGGTCCATCACACCCAGCTAGACCAGTTTTTAAAAAGTGTTAATTTGGGGCTGGGGAGATGGCTCAGTGGTCTAAAGCACCTACTTAGAACAAGCTTAGCAAAGCACAGGAACTGTGGTTCAATCCCCCAGCACCACATGCCAGCCAGCCCGCCCCCTGGCGGGCTGAGCTGGACACACACACACACACACACATAAATAAATAAAAATTTTAAAATAAAAAAAAGTGTTAATTCTTCTTTCATATAGTTTTATAAAAAAATATGAGATACAAAAGCAGAAATGTACAAACTCTTCAAGGCAAGAAAGGCTTGGTGTATTTCTTGTGCACTGTGCATTTGACTTTTAAGGTAGGGTTTTTTTTTTTAGTCCAGGGCCTACAGGGTCTCACTACACAGATCAGACTCGCAGTGATCCTTCCTGTTTTCAGCCTCCCAAATGCTGGGATTACGCCACCACGCCCAATCTCAATCAACATCCCAGCATGACCCAGGGGCGGGGCCTGCGTGCACACCGGGGATTTCAACGCCAGTCCCTTATCTGCCTAAGCAGGCACTTAGATTTATTTATTTATTTTTTTTAATATGTTTGGTACAGGGTCTCACTATGCAGCTCAGACTCGTGGTGATTTCCGTTTTCAGCCTCCTCAGAGCTGGGATTATAGGTGTGCGCCACCACACTGGGTCTCAGTGGCCGCTGCACATGCCAGGAGGGGAGAAGGGCACGGTAGGTGGTGACAGGGATTGAACCCCAGTGCTTGCGCTTGCCTAGGCAGGTGCTTAATCCACTCAGCTATGTCACTGGCCTTCTTTTAAGGTAGGTTTGACACGAAATAGCACAAGACACTGCGCTGGCACTCTCCCTGCCTCGTCCAGTACGGCAGGCACACACAGGGCAGGGCCAGGCTGCACACCCGTGAACGTCGCCATCCCTGTGACTCAGGACCAGAGGGGCCAGGCCTTGCCTCCGCAGCGCGATCAGCCACTCTCAGGTGCCCCGCGGTGCCCACAGCAGCGGGGCCTTCGCTCAGGCAGGGGAAGGCACTGGCACCCCACAGATTCTCTGCTCCCCTCCCCAGCAAAACCTCAGTGGAAACCCTTGAGCACTTCCCGCCACCCTGGGCCATGATTCTTGCCCACAGGGCTCCTCACCAGCTCTGCTTCCCACCAGGGATGAGTTGCCAGAGGACTGGGCAGGAATCAGCCTAACAAAGAGCAAGTGCTGCAGAGCAGAGAGACCGGGACCCACACCCAAAGCTCTATCTGAGAGGTCCTGTGTGTATTTTGTTTTCTTTGAATGAAGTGGGGGGTAGGGAGACAGGACCCAGGCCCTTGGGTAGAGCTGCATCCTCCACCCTTTTGCCATTTTATGTTTTCAGACAATGTCTTGATAAGATGTGATGTTGCCCAGAGTGGGCCCTCAAATTTGGGACCCTCCTGACTCAGCCTCCCAGAGTGCCACAATTACAAATATTCCCCACTAAACCAGGTTCTGCCTGCTTTCTTGACCTGCTGCCTACTTGGGGTTGTGAACCCCTATTTGGGTTACTGATGATCAGTTCCAAAGAGCACAAATCCTCAGAGAAGTAAAAGAAATGGAAGCAGAGCCAGGTGTGGTGGAGCACACCTGTTCTCCCAGCAATGAGGGGAGGCTGAGACAGGAGGATCGCTTTGAGTTTGAAGCCAGTCTGGGGTACACAGCAAGACTCTGTCACAGAAAAAAATGGATGAGGGAGTGACAGTGAAGGCTGCAGGCTGTGCCCAGGTCAAAAAAAGGGGTGGGGGGGAGTTTCCAAATTCAGAAAAGATAGAAATCTTTTCCTGCAACCCTAAACAAACCAGAGTAATTTGTTTTGTCTTCCTTTTGTTGCTGTTTATGTTTGTTTGTAGGAATAGGGATTTAATACAGTGTTTTTCCACCAAACTGCATCCCTCGCACTTTTGCTTTTTAATTTTGAGTCAGACTCTTGGGAAGGCACTAAGCGGCCACCTTCCGGTTCAGCCTCCCAGAGCGCGGAATCCAGGTGTGCGGCTCCACCAAGCTTTACTGAGTGAAGCACGCAGAGGAAGGAAAGAGGCCGAGCGCTGTGTGCTAAGGACATGCCTGGCATCACAACAACAGATTCGCACCCTGGGGAACAGGCGCAGAGGCTGCCCTGACCTGGAGGCAAGCTGTCACCTCCGTCTGATGATCCAGAAACAGGATGGGGCATGGGAGCCTTGCCCTAGCCGGGCAGCGCTCTGACACGCACAGCCCGGCCCACCGCACCTGCCTGGCGAGGAGGCTCAGGCTGGGGGTCACGGCAGGCCAGGGCGCAGGAACACGTCTGCCCTTGACTCCTCGGAACCCTGGACTTGACCTGCGTGGAGCCAGAGACACAGACGGAGGAGAACGCCGCTCACGGTCGGACACCAGAACTGCAAAACCCAAATGGAAACAGCTCCTGGAGGGGCATGGGAAACTCACACGTGACCCTAGCTAGCCCCTCAGAGGCCAGGGCAGCTGCCAGGGTTGGAGAAAGAGACCCTGCGCCCACCCCTGGGCTGCTCCTAGCAACAGTGCAGCTGCAGGGTCTCGGTGCAGATCTGGGTCTGTCCCACCCCACTGGCAGCTTCTGACCAGCCAGGCCTGCCTGCTCGAGACACAGCTCCGCCTCTGAGGCAACTGGAACAGGTGCAGGCCTGTTGCTTCCAGGGTACCCAGGAGGGAACATTTTGGCTGGCACTTGACCCCGGCTGCTGATGGGAGTGCAGAGGGACGCAGGGTGGCGGAAGGCTGAGAAGCAGGTGTGATCGGAATGAAGGGCGGGGAACACACAAGGGTGAGAGCTCCCCGGGGCTGCAGGCACCGCACACACAAAGCAGCTTCCAGGGGAGCATGCTGAGGGGAAATTCTGTGTCCAGGAGTGAAAAGCGACATGTCACAGCCACCCCTGCGCTCCCACAGCTCCCAGTCCTGCAGCTGCATCCTGGAGGCAGTTTGTGTGCACATCAGCAGACAAATGAGTAAGGAACATGTGACACTTCCACAGGGGAGCACCGTGCCATCATAAAGAAGGATCAGCTGGAGTCATTTGTAGAAAGACGGACGCAGCTTGAGACCACAGCTGTAAGGGAACTGCATCAGCCTCACGAGTTTCAATATTGCACGGTTTCTCTTAGAAGAGACGCCCAAAGTACAACTGAAGAGTGGAATAAAAGACAGATCCAAGGGAAGAAGGAGAAAGATCTTTAGCAAAAGGGAAGGAGACCTAGAGAAGAAGGAAGGGCAGAGGGATGGGAAGAGAAAAGACTTCAGAGATCTGGTGTGCATGCGCTAGCTGCCTACACTAAAAGTGCTCGTTATGTAGCACAAACATATGCTAATAAAATGTTTATATTTGGGGGGGTTTGAGACAGGATCTCACTATGCAGTCCAGGCTGGCCTCAAACTCGGTGATCTTCTTGCCTTAGCCTTCTGAGGGCTAGGGTGACAGCAGGGGACAGCAACAAGCCCAGGTAGCCTTGGGCTGTGAACAGTGGGAGGCTGAGGTGCCTGTTTGGACCCCCAGGGCCTAGGGTTAACCAGGCAGAGAAGGTGCAGTGTCTGCCTCCACAGCCTCTTCTCCTTTCTGCATACCCTAAATCCATTCGGACCTCAACTGCCCTGCGAGGGGACAGTGCTGGATCCTGAATCCCTGGCCACCTTCCAGGTCTGCAGGGCAGGCCCTCTCCTGCGAAAGTTTTCTCCAAAGCACCCTAAACTCCACCCAAACCCTCTTCCAGCCGGCCATCGGGGGAGGCATCATGGCCAGGTTTCTTCCAGCTCAATACAAAGTTGGAAAATTTGAAAGGGTGCACAACCTTCCCCCCATCAGGCAGGGACGCCAGGGGCCTGTGGAGCCCCAGCGGCCCCAGATATACAACGTGGCCATAAAGGCATTAAACCTGCAGGATGCTTCCTCCAGGCCTGTGAGGTGCAGGGAAACGCATTCTGATGCAGATGCTGCCCCGGGCAGGTGCTGGGGGCGGGGAGAGGAGCGGCTGGGCCAGCAGGGACAGCCAGTGCAGCCACAGAGATGCCTCCAG